TCCTTCCTTCCTTCCTTCCTTCCTTCCTTCCTTCCTTCCTTTCTTTCCTTCTTTCTTCCTTTCCTTCTTGCTTATTTGTGCTTGCCCTGGAGTTTGAACTCACGGCCTGGGCACCATCCCTGAGTTTTTGCTCAAGGCTAGTGCTCTACCACATGAGCCACAGATTTACCTCTAGCTATTTTTTTGTAGCTTATTGGCGATGAGTTTCACTGATTTTCCTGCCTCACGATCCTCAGATCTCAGCCTCCTGAGTAGCCAGGATTATAGGTGTCCAGCACATTGTCTCATTTATGACAGACAAGTTTGCTGTAGTGGGAGACATCATCTCTACCCCAGTCTTCTCTGGCCAAGGCTTGGAGTTCTCTCCACCTTTGGTAAAAACAGTTTGGTTCTCACTGAATGATGACAGTGGTTGCAGCTAGTGTCTGTACATCATCTGAAAGTGCAGCACTGGACAGGTAAGTATTCTTGTAGGCATGCTGACAAATAGTGAAGACATTTTGTGAGTTTTGACAGATTAAAAAAAAACCTGAGTGAATAGCTGAGTGATGGTGGCTCACACCTGTAAACTTTGTTGGTGAAGTCCATTTCTGTCTGTAGTCAGGCAGATAGTACCATTCAGTGACTTTTCCATGGAGAAGGAAACAGGGACAATTGGTTTTTGACCTGGCAGGGAGAGGGAGGCAGTCACACATGGCTCAGGCAGAATTCAAAGTGAGATGGATTATTGTCAGTATGTCAGGAGCTTTTGAAGACACTGGAGTGTCTGATTTGAAAAAAAGATGCCCAGCAGGTACCAGTGGCTCACGCCTGTAATCCTACCTATTCAGGGGAATGAGATCTGAGAATTGTGGTTTTGAAGCCATCCCTGGCAGGAAAGTCTGTGAGACTCTTTATCTCCAATTAACCACCAGAAAACTGGAAGTGGTGCTGTGGCTCAAAGTGGCCCTGAGTTCAAGCCCCATGACTGGCAAATGCTCAAGATAGGCACTGGTGGCTCACACCTATAATCTAGTTACTTAGGAGGCTGAGATCTGAGGGTCATAATTGGAAGCCAGTCCTTGAAACTATCTCCAATAAATCACCAAAAACCCAGATGTGGAACTGTGACTCAAGTGGTAGAGCACTAGCCTTGAGAAGAAAAAAAAATCTCAGGGACAGTGCCCAGGTCCTGAATGCAAAGCTAAGGGCTGGCAGTACACACACACACACACACACGCACGCACACACGTAGGCACGCACGCACGCATGCACAGAGTCTTAAAAAAATTCCTAAAGGTGGTGGCAAAGCCCATCATCCATCTCTGCCTGCTTCTCCCTTTGTTCATGACGCTGTGGCTGATTTCATTTGCTCTAAATTTGGTGGATTTAGATCTGATGGCCAAAGGATGACATCTTTTCTAACAAAATATTTTCTGAAATCTTTTTTAGGAGACGCATAGACAATGAAGGCCTACCTCAAGAGCGCAGAGGGCTTTTTTGTCCTAAATAAAAGCACCACGATTGGAAAACATGCGGACTCAGACCTCGTCTTACAGGTGAGCATTCACCCCAGAACCCTCAAACAGTCCAGAACTATGGCACGGATGGAATAGCTCAAGGTACCATAGCCATATGTGGCAAGCAGCCACGTCTTCTCTCTTGGCTGTGGAGAACCAATGGTTGAAGGTGCTGGACTCCGCTGGATAGGGCTGGCGCTGAGCATGGGGTAGGGTAGGGTGGGCCGGACCGTCTTGGAGGCTTTGGGAGGTGGACACAGAGCTGGTGCATCCACTGTCCCCAGGCTGGACAAGGCCTCCCTCCCTTTCAAAGCCCACTGAGACCATCTGAGACCACTCGCTGCCCACAGGGTTCAGGAGGAGCACCATGGATAGGCCAGGCGAAGCCATGAGCTTAGCTGTGTCATCCTTCCATTCACTGTATGCTCTGACTTAGCTGTGATTTCTCTGGAACCTCCACTCTTCCCTAGGCAAGGAGTTTGCAGAGAGAAAGGAATGGGAAAAGCCATGGCTTGAGCTTTCTTAAATATTGAAGGGGGTTAAAATGTTAGCAGGGAAAGAGAAACCCAAGAGTTGCTTTAAAACAGTGGAAAGTGCATGCACATGCATGCTACTATTGGGGCTTAAACTCAGGACCTCATGTTCATGTTGGCTTTTTTGCTCAAGGCAAAAGTAGAGCTGCAGCTCTGCTTGTGGCTTTTTGGTGACTACTTGGAATGAAAGGTCTCATAGACTTTCCCATCCAGATTGGGTTGGAACCCTGATGCTCAGATCTCAACCTCCTGCGGAGCTAGTGTGACAGGCCTGAGCCACCAGCACTCAGCCCATGACAGATTCACAAGAAGTCCTAAACACAGCAGAGAGAGATTGAGTGTGGGCCTCTGCCATCCCCCCCAGGGATTGCTCCTCGGGTGACAACCACACCATCAAAAGCAGACTGTTGACCCAGGTACAGTGCTTGTGTGTGTGTATATGTGTGTGACACTCACTCGCTCACACCGACAGACTGAATGATGTCTATACTGTCTACTGATATTATTGGCTTTGATCAGATATGGCGGTTTCTCCCATTTAAATTTCCTGTTTTCTTATTTCCATTCCTTTTCCATCCCATGCAAACTTCAGAATAATCCTGACTGCATCTACAAATGCCTTATTGGGATTTTGTTAGGAATTATGCACTATGTTAAAGCCTATAATTGATATGGGAAGAATTGATCTCTTTCCTGGTTATATTTCTGTTTATTGAAGTCTTCTTGGTTTCATGTCAAGTGTTTTGAAACATTCAGCATAGGAGTCCTGTACATACTTTTGTTAGATTCACACTAAATCATTTGTGTGTGTGTGTGTGTGTGAGCATGTGTGCACGCACACACACGCATGCATGCGCACGTGCTGCTACTGAAACATAAATTCTGGGCCTTAGGGTTTTGCTGAGCTTTTTCACTTACGGCTGCCGCTCTACCACTTGAGCCACCTCCATTTCCAGCTTTTTGGTGATTGATTGGAAATAAGAGTTTCATAGAGTTTTTCTGCCCAGGCAGCTTTGAACCATGATTCTCAGATCTCAACCTCCTGAGTGGCTAAGGTATAACAGGTGTGAGCCACGGGTGTCTGGCTTCATTTGCTTCTTTCATTCATGGTAAGAGGCAGTATATCATAGTTTGTACTTTGGGGACTGGCGAAATATTAGAGATTGAACTCAGGGCCTGGTGGTGCTTGAGCCACACTCCCAGTTCTTCTGCTTTTAGTTTATTTTTCAGATAGGATTGTGTGCTTTTGCCCAGGGCTGTCCCTAACCACCATTCTCTCCTATCTCCACCTCCTGGGTAGCTGGAATTACAAATGTGCATCACCACACCTGGCCCTTGTCACTTTAGTGTTGGTCTCCACCTGTTCATTTCCTGTACAAAGACATACAGTTACATTTCCTTTGCTTAGATGACAACTTCTAACCTGAACTGAACTTCCCAGAGGTGCTTTTTTATTTTTTCTTTTTTTTGTAGAACTCCTGGGATTTTACAAATAAATAACCACATAACAAGGAAATAAAACAAGCTTTATGCTTCCCTTTCTGACCTCTAAGACTTTAATTTCCTTTTCTTGCTATATTGCATGGCATGGGCTAGGAGTTCTTAACTCTGCTGAGTCAGAGTGAGGAAGTGGCACAAATCCTTGTTATTTGCCTTGGCTTTTCGAGGCAAGCATTCTGTGTTCTGCCATTACATATGACATGAGCTATAGGGTTTGGGGAGATGTTCTTGATCAGGTTTGAGGTTCCCCATCTAGCCATGTTTCCTGAGAGAACAGCGAACCTCCAGCATGTCATCTCCCTGTAAGGACACAAAGGGCCTAATCACAATGCAGAGCGATTGTCATGACTGCTCCCAGTCATTAAAGAGAAGTGACTTTGCTTCTCATCTGTCCCAGCTGCAGACGGGATCTCAGGCTAAAGAGGCAACATGACTCATGGGGACAGATGGGGTTGGCTTGAGTGCCGTCAGGCCATTTTCTGGCCTTGTGAGTTCACACGATCATCTCCATCTGCAAAGTGCTGACCTCTCAGAGCTGTTGGGAGGATTAAGAGAGATCCGAGGATTGAAGTTCAAAGCTAGCCCCAGCAGGAAAGTCCATGAGAATCTTTATCTCCAGTTAACCACCAAAAGGTCGAAATGGAGCTCAAGTGGTACAGTGCCAGCCTTGAGCATAAAAAGCTCAGGGACAGCATCCAGGGCATAAATCCAATCTGTAATACCAGTACAAAAAATTAATTAGCTAGTGAATTAACTAATTAGTTTTAAAGGGAGCAGCCACCCTCTGCAGTGATCACCCTGAGTTGGGGCAGGACCAGTGGTGTTTCCTGATGCTGAACCACTTTCTGTCAGCCCCCATGAGCACCGAGGACCCAGGAAGTGGCCTAGGAAGGCTGGTTTATGGCTTCCTGCACCTTCTTTTGGACAAAGCCTCTTCCCAAAGTAGATCGGGGAGAGGAGGTTTTCTCTAAGAAGTGGTAGGGGTATAGTGGCTCATGTCTGTAATCCTAGCCACTCAAGAGGCTGAGATCTGAAGATCCAGTTTTTCAATTTTGTATGACAAGGCCAGCTGAGACCTGCCCCTCTGCTGATGCCCCCTGCATGATCAAATCTGGGCCATCCTGAGAAATAATTCCGCAATTAATTGATTACTTGTGTTATTCATACCAATCATTGTACTAAATCAAGTTCAGAAACCTTAATAAATTTGAATAAGAATCAGTCATGAACTTATTCAGTGGTAATAATTTCTTCCTCCTCCTCCTCCTCCTCCTTCATCTTCTTCTTGGTGTTGGTACTAGGGCTTGAAATCATGGCCTTGTGCTCTTATTTGGCTTTTTCCCTCAAGGCTGGTACTCTACCACTTGAGCCACAGCTCCACTTCCAGCTTTTTAGTGGTTAATTGTCTCATAGACATTCCTGCCCTGTCTGGCTTCAAATCTCAAATATCAGCCTCCTGAGTAGCTAGGATTACTGGAAAAGCCACTGGTATGGCCATAGTTACTTTTTTTTTTTTTTTTTGCCAGTCCCGGGGCTTGAACTCATGTCATAGGCTTTGTCCCTGAGCTTCTTTTGCTCAAGGCTAGCATTCTACCACTCGAACCACAGAGGCACTTCCAGCTTTTTCTGTTTATGTGGTACTGGGGAATTGAACCCAGGGCTTCATGCATGCGAGGCAAGCACTCTACCACTGAGCCACATTCCCCACCTGTTTTTTTTTATAGTTGTTATTTATTTTTTAAACATCATTATTTTGTTTGCTTGGATAGGCCCAGTGAGTGAAGATTCTGCTTCTAAAGGTTTGTTCTTATTGACAAGGTTGACAACTTATGTTCATAGTTGATATGATTACATTTTGACATCATTTACATTGATAATAGAGGACAGTTACACACTGCTGTTTTTCAAAAGTTGGAGGAAACAATGACAGGAACAGTGGGCCATGCCTGTAATCCCAGCTGCTTTAGTGGTAAATATCTCGAATCACAGAGCTTGGCCCAACCAGGTTAACAAATCCCATCTCAACAAATAAGCTACACACAGTGGTATGTACCACTGTCTCTAATGTCTCTAATCCCAGCTACACAAAAAGCTGTAAGTAGGAGGATCACAGTCCAAGACCAGCACTGAGAAAACTACAGGAACCTGCCTGAAAAATAACTTCAGCCAAAAGCAGGGTGGGGCATGGCTCAAGTGGTAGAGCACCTGCCTAGCAAGTATGAGGGCCTGAGTTCAGACTCCAACATTGCCAAAACAAAACAAAACAAACCTGGAAGAAACAAAGGCAAAAGAAGGAAATGAAAGTGAGATCCAGTCCTGATGGGTCTCCAGACCGTCAGTGCCCGGTAAGGAGTGTGGCTGCTGGAAGGCAGGGCAGCCTGCTGCACCCCTTTATCACTCACTGACTCCACAGATATTACCTGCCATGTCAGCGTGGGCAGAACCAGAGTCCCTGCAGTCAGGAAGCTACCAGGAGAGGGAGACAGAGGGCTCAGGAGCCCACAGACGTGACTGTGGTCACACACCAACAGCAGGCTCTAAAGGAAAGAAGACAAGAGCCAGGAGAGTGGAGGGGAGCCCGTGTGCAAAGGCCCTGGGGTGGAAGGACATGTGGGGTGAGCCCACAGGACTAAGAATGAAAAGGGGCGACATGAGGTAGGACTCCTTTGGGACCTCAGAAGGGTTCAGGGCATCCTCTGTGGGAAGAGGACTCCAAAGGGGATCTGCTGTACACAGACTGGAAACTGAGCCTGCTCCCCATCTCCCTCCCCGTTCAGGGCTAAATCTGGTGAGCTGTATGCTTTCCACTGTTTGAGGTGGCTTGTGAACTGTAACTTTCAGAGTTGGTTGTCGCCGGTGTTTATTTTATTTTGGTCTTGAAATGAGGATCTCCCTATGTTGCCCAGGCTGGTCTCAGACTCCCCAGGCTCCGGATTCTCTGGCCTCAGCCTCCCCAGCAGCCGGGATGGCAGGCTGCCATGATGCTACTACCTCTCACCCCGCCTC